TACACTCACACACACACACACACACACACACACACACACACACAGCACTGCACACGGCGATAGATCCCATGTTATCTTGATTTACTACATCTCTTATCTTCTCCTTTTAGCTCCTGCTTGTGGGTTGTGTGTAACCACATGCTCCTACTCTAGCTCCCACCCAAAGGCCGATGGCATTACAGGACAAAAGTGACAAAAAACAATTTGAAGCTCTGAATACCCAGCATGTTCACTAAGTTCCCTACAAACAAATGAAGCTTTGCGTTAGTTCATGCAGGACACGGAAGTCATACGCCCCCAGCTGTAACCAGCTGACAGCCAGTCGATTGCATCATAGCTTCCAATCGGCCACGCACCAATCACAGCCCACTCTCACTTCAAGGAGGTTTATTTAAATATGACTCCCTCCTCACTGATTCATTCTACATCTACGCTGTTACAGACCGCACTGCTGGCGAGGCTTCGCCTCCTCCACCACAGCCTCCACCCTTTTTAGTTCATCTTCTGGCAAATGGTTGAAACGTATTTTAAAAATGTACTTCTGGCTCATTTCTGTAAACCCTTGGGGGTTGTTGCTCGGTGCTCCCCGTCTTAGCTTGGTAGCTGCTGGCTAATCCGAGGAGCATTCAAAGAGCGGAGCCATCATCGCCAAGTTTAACTGTATTTCCATTTGTTGCAATAAATGGTTAAAATCTATGACGAGAGTGTTCCTGACTGAACTTATTTACAGCAAAGGAATACATTTATATTTAACAGAACAAATAACTAGTTATGTGAACAGTAGATTGTAGTGACATTTAGGGAAAGATTAAATTCCCTCATGCCCAAATGTGGCCCACATTTGTAATTTGAGCTACATTTGAATGAAACAAAAGTTTATGTAGTGGTTTACAGAGAAATGTCTTGGGTTTGTCTGTATGTGATCATTTAGCTGAATGAAGAAAGTTGATGTTGCAGCTATTGCAGGAAGACCATCCTTTGCTGTGCCCTCATGAGGTCCTGGGTGATGATGGTGCTCAGGAAGTGTATACAGAGGAGTCACATAGGGTGTTGAGAGTGGGGAGAGCTGGGTTCCTTCTGAAATTCCCAATGATCTCCACTGTCTTCAGAAGCTTGGGAGATTGATCATCTGGTAGACATGTGGTGTCATCATCGAACTCTGAGGGATTAACAGACTGATGATTGGAGGTGCAGCTTTTTGTGTACAGGTAGAAGATTAGAGGGGAAAGGATGCAGCCTTGAGGGGGACTGGTGCTGATGGTCAATGAGTCTGAGATGTGATTCCCCAGCTGTATGTGCTACCTCCTATCTGACAGTCTGTGATCCACCTGCATTGAGTCAGGTACACTCACACCTGGCACTGCAGTAGGGAGAGCTTGTCCTGCAGTATAGCTGGGATGATGGTGTTAAAGGTGGAGCTAAATTACCAACAGTATCCTAGCGTAGGTTCCTGAAGAGTAGAGGTGCTGGAGGATGAAGTGGAGGGCCATGTTGGCTCTGTAGGCGAACTGCAGGGGGTCCAAGAGGAGGTCGATGATGGTTTTGAGGTAGGACAGCACAATGTGCTCAAATCATTTCATTATCTCAGAGGTCAGGGGCGACCTGTGGTTCTGGATTCTTTAGGGATGGGATGATATCTAATCTATCTAATATAGTTTTTATTATTACTCACAATACTATTTTTATTACCGATATCATTAACGCACATTACTGACTTTGCTTCTTCACCGGAGTCTCTGTGCCTTCTCACCTCGCAGGTTTCCATGGATCTTATACCTGGACCCTGGTCTTGCCTCCTGCCGTGGTTCTGTCATATGCATTGAATGTGTTGTGTTATTTTGTTCATTCTGCACACATGACATCTATTGCACTTCTGTCCATCCTGGGAGAGGGATTCCTCCTCTGTTGCTCTCCCTGAGGTCTCTCCCTCTTTTCTCTCCGTTAAAGGGTTTTTTGGGGGAGTTTTTCCTGTTCTGATGTGAGGGTCCTGGGTCAGAGGATGTCGCATGTGTACAGATGGTAAAGCCCTCTGAGGCAAATTAGTGATTTTGGGCTACATAAAATAAATTGAATTGAATTGAATGATGGTGGAGGTCTTGAAACAGGCTGGCACATCATCTCCAGTGAGGTGCTGAAGAAGTCTGTGAACACAGGAGACAGCTAGTCAGCAGCACAGTGCCTCAGGTTGAAAGGAGAGATGGAGTCTGATCCGGCTGCTTTGGGGCATATCTATCTCCTGGAAGGGCTGTTCATGTCCTCCCTTTTTTAGATTTGTTCCTAATCTATCCAATGAAATGTGTCAGCATCTGCTGGGTGGATTGACACTACATTTGGTAGAGACATTAATGGTCCTCAAAGGATGAATCCCACTGACTTTGGTGATTCTTTGACTTAATCTCTAGTGACACAATGCTCCTGACATTTTATCTTGTGCCAACAGAGCCATACGTTTTTACCTAACATTTACTCAGTTGACAGACAATTGAGTATACTAATGACTTTGATGATCTTCTGACTTATCTCTGGCACCACCGTATCTTATACAAACACAACCCTAACTGTGCACACAGTTAAGGTGCAAAAACAAGAAAAGCTTTGTGTGTTATGGTAATTAATGGCCATGACTTTACAATTTATTTCTGTTTTTAGACATGGATTCCCAAAAGGAGGTGAGTAAAGAATGGAGGAAGCACTTTAAGAGTAACAGAATGCTTTTGGTAAATCAGGAGGTAGCGGAAACACCGAGAGTTGAGTTCTGTTGAGTTCTCATTACGTTACGAGCTATGAACCGAACCATGGCTCAAAAATGGGGATCTGAACCAAACCGTCAATTTGGAGAAGTGTTACACATCTACTAGTTGAGGGGATATCCACAACAATGTTTGGATTTTATAAGGAAAGCAGGTAATTTCTAACATACTTGAATAAAGTACCAAAAAGATTATTTTTTAGATATGGAGGGAAGTAATGGCCACAAGTTCCCTAGGTCTAATAGTGTTTGGAACCAAACAGTGTAGACAGCCATTTAAGGTGTCCTTTCCAACTAAGTTAGGGATGGCCATTCATTTAGTGATACTTTTGAGATCGGCAGAGCCCAAGGACATGCATTTAGTTCAAGATCAAGGTTAGGGTATCTTCTTAAAGGGAACACCGCCTAAATTAAAGTCTAATATGTTATTTCCATGGCTTAGGAAAGTTCAATCAATATTTGTGACCAGAGAAGTAACTGGTGGTATCATCAAGTATAAAGTCTGGTGCTGTTCCACAGACAATGAATAGGAGACTGATTTTCTAGACACACAGATATGTTTTTTTTTATCTTATAAAAGGAAAAGTTCCAGTCCTTGATTATGATTGGCTGAACCAAGTTTGTACCCGTTGTAAAATGCTCTACAAACACACAGCTGTGACTGCATTACAGCTATTTTCAGATCTGATCATCCGCCTGGATGGGAACGGTCAGGAGTATGCTAAGCTGTCATTTAATGAATCCACGAAAAAACAGAAGGATGCTGGGGAGAGAAACAATGGCTACGTTCACAATGCAAGCGTTAGTGCTCATATCTGATTTATTACTCAGATCCCATTTTATAATAATCACCCCAATCTTTGCATGCTTTCCACTTTGTTGCTTTGCAACTGCTATGCTAAGTGTTGCTAAAGAACTACATTGATTGGTGGTATTTATTTCTAACATCTGGTTGCAAATAATTTGCAGTTCTTGACTGCCTGAAGTTACGACACAGAGACTTGAGCTGACAGTTGTTATGTTCTCTGTAATGCTCTGTCAGCCTTGTTCTGCATTTGTTTGTTGCACTAGACTCCATACAGGTTGGTCACAAGGGCTAAGATGGCCTACTGGCTGAAGCATGCTGATCCAATGAGTGGAATAAAAGTAGACTGCTGTGGGTTAGGGTTGGTTGAACATTGGGCAGGCATGCTGTCTTAAAAGTCCACAATGTTTGACCTGTCATGGATTCTTCTGTTATCTTACCCACACATTACAGATGGTGTATGTGTGTGTCGAAAATGTCCAAAGAGATAAAGTTCAAAGACTTGTGGCTTCATGGTGGAAACTTTAATCCTCAATGAATCTCATGTTTTCCCTCGAGTGACCTCGGTTTCTAATCTCTGCTTTATACACACAGACCTACTGACTGTCCACATTCATGTGTGGGTGGACCACATGACGAAAAACTCTTTGAACTTTCAAGTCATTTAATTTTTACAAGAACAAAGAGAGAAGTGGTAAAGCTTCTCTATTCTCTAACTTCTGTAAAAGCATCGGTACCACCATGAAATAATATTTTACACGCTCCTTGTTACAGACCAAAAAGTACAGCACCATTTGCAATATAATGTATTAAAGTATCAAAAGTACATATCTCCCCAATTGTTTGCATACCCCCCCGCCCCCTCCCCCAAAGTATTTGTAAAATCTGTCTTTCTTTTGACCAGGCATGTTATTGCAGTCGGGGATTGGGTGTGTGTCCTCACACTTTAACCCTTGTGATCATTTGTGTGTGCAGTGTCTCTGATGCATGGTCCTTTTTACGCTGTGTCCTGTGTGTTTACTGCAGTCAGACAGGGAGTCTCATGGCATTGCTCTGGTTATATGTCTCTTGAGTTAAAATTCAAATATGCGTTTTTAGAATAGTTTTAAATGGTAATGCTCATTTCAGCTTGTTGTTGCATAAAGATAATCTAAACCACCACTTTACATTGAGCAATGCTTTTTCCCACAAACCATAAATGAATGGGAATTCTGTATTCATTTCAGCATTAAAAAAAAAAAAAAAAAAGTTGAAACTAAAATATCTAAACTTTACTCGCATGTCTGATTAAACGGAACAGTGTTAGGTATCTGTCTATGATATGTGTATGTGTGTGTGTGTGTGTGTGTGTGTGTGTGTGTGTGTGTGTGTGTGT